CCCCCTCCCTTCCCCAGCAGCGTTTCTCAACCTTTTTTCAACCATGGCACCCTTTAAAAGTATGCAAAATCTTGAGGCACCCCAGCCTAAAATGTAAAACACATTCCCAGATAGGAATGTGTTATAGATTGTAAGGGGGGACTCCTTGCAAAAACATAAAAAAAATGTGGTTCCACTTACATCAGATTCCCTCCTTTAACTTTAGGATCCCCTTTATATTCGGAGCCCTTTCTTTTCACATCAGATTCACTCTCTTTTACATCATAGCTCCCATCCTTCTTTTACATCAGAGTCCCCCCTTCACATCAGGAGCTCTCTTCACATCAGAGCCACCCTTTCATATTAGAATTCTCCCTTCACATCAGAAGCACCTTCACATAGAAGTCCTATCATCGCATCATGGGAGCCGCAGCTGTGGCAACATGGCAGATGGTGGAAGGAAGAGCAGGCCGGAAAGGAGGTGAACTGCCATCTTTTTCTGAATGGATCCCACCCTCCCTGGATTAGCTGATGATGCTGTGAGAACATTTCCAGGCACCACTGAGGAAGCCAGAAGGCACCTAAGGGTGCCAGGGCACCCTGGTGGTTGAGAAAGGCTGCTCTAGAGACATGTATATGATATACTGGAAGTCTCATTTAAACTTGAAGCCTCCTTTCAAGAAGAACTCCAGGCAAAAATGTTAGGCTCTGGGGTTCAGGTGAGTATCATTTTTTTTTTACCTTAGGCAAAAATGAGCAGTTAACCCTTGCACAGTGTGGGGAAGGCAAGGGTTAATAAAATGTCTCCTCGGAGTTCTACTTTAAGCCCTCATTCACACTGTAATCGGTCCGCACGTATAGTTCCGTGCTGCGTGCAGAGCCGTATCGAGCAGCTCCCTGGAAGGACAGGTGCTGCATGTGATTACTACGCAGCCGTACGCCCTCCTACGCTCACCTCAAGTGCAGGTCCGTAGTGGTGCTTGTTTTCCGGCTCGGACACTGACAGGATCCATCCTGTCAGCGTACTAGTACGCTCACCCTCACCGACGTGCAGGGCGGGTGATCGTAGGGGGGCGTACGGCCGCGTAATCCCATAGAGGACGGGGGCCGCAAACTAATCACACGCACCACCTGTCCTTCCCGGGAGCTGCTCGATACGGCCCTGCACGGAGCTGTACGTGCTGGCCGATTACAGTGTGAATGAGGGCTAAAAAAAAAATTCCTACCCAAGCACACGCATACTAGGTGTACACCTTTACAATTAATTAGCTAGAAAACTTTCCACTGTGCACTTGTCTGGCTCAGTTTCACTTTCTAAAAGGTGCCCATACACCTTACAACTATCGCAAGACTTTTGTCTATGGCCAGCTTAAAGGTGCCCATACACCTTGTGATTATCAGGGAATTATTTCTAAATTAACATGTTTCAAGTTCATATAATATCTTCATAGCCCTGTTGTTAAGGATTGCTACAAATCTTAAATTGACCATACACTTTGCAGCCTAATTGTACAACCTCCTTTAGATCAGACAACAACTGTAGAGCAATGGCCTGTGAAATTGCGTAGAAAGTCAATTGATTGTTTAGGTTTGCTCACCTATTGCGGGATAGGTGAGCAAAGAGATTATACAATCTGATTGTATTGTGTATGGTCACCCTTAGGCGGTCAGAAAGATTTTTTACCATAACATACAAGCTACAGTAGTCCAAGCTCTAAGCCTGAACCTTTACTCCTCTGGGAAGAAAAAGGCCACAACCTCCTGCTTATCTTTGAGGAAAGCCACAGTGATCACATGAAAAGATTCAACTTGGCTTATTTGACATTTCCCCCACTGCAATCAGCTCGGGTGTGGGAGAGAGGGGGGCTGCTGTTGTCATTTGTTGCCTATTCTCAACAAATTTAGCTTGTTTGTGGACATTTTAACTATGCATCAAGATCCTCTAGTTATCATGGATTCTACCTAGCTTATTAATTTGTTTTGTAGGCTTTCATACATAGCTGCTTATTCATTTGAATAGGCTGCTTAACGCACTAAAAAAAATGGTGCATGCACTATATTTTGTAATGCAGCACACCACACTGCTCAAGTAGTGTGTTAACATGCATTGTGGTGCACTGAAGTGCCATTAAAAATAAATGGCAACTCAGCACACAAATGTGTCCTGAGCACCCATGTTTGGTTCCTCTAGGAAAATAAGCCTGGAGCGGTACATATGGCTGAGTGTGCTTTGCCACATTGTGTTTTAGGCTTGACATTGTATAGTGTCAGTAAAGAATAGCCGTACTAACATAAATAAAGAAGCCGTCATTGCTGATCTGCTAACCTTCTAAAAATACTGGTTACCTTGCGGTCTCTGGTTTTGAAACTTGCAGGCCAGAAACGTCAGTCAAGTCAGATCTCTTAGGCCCAGTGAAGACCTGAGCAATCTGGGACGTGCGTCCCGGTATCCCGCGGCCCTGCACAATTGCAGACAACAATTGCAGCGCGACCCCATTGATTTACATCTGAGCGGCAATCCCAGAAAAAGGTACATATACCTTTTTTTTTGCGATACACGACACACAGCTGTTTTAGTGCTCGGATGCACGGGCGGAATCACGGCGGAAAACCGCACAATCCGTCTGGCGCGACTGGGGTGTCATTAGCAAATAAATTTGATGGACACGATTGCTGCGTGGTCACAGATTTGCCCAGATGTGCACCGGCCCTTAGTCTGCATAGCAGTGGCACAAACTAATTAAACTGTATGTCAATTGACAGAATTTTATAGGTGTCCGTGTTGCTTTTTCCCCTTACTTCCGGTCTGGTGAAAACAGTTGTCACAGTGCCAGTAACCAACCAAATTGTGTCAGATTCCCGCTGAAGCCTCTAAAATTTGAACCTTGGGTGGCCCTGCTGGCACCACCATAGCCCTGGATAGCTACAAACAAATCAGACTTTGGTTTTAGCCTTACCCACTGTATCCAAAACGGAAAAAAAAAGTTTTGCTTCCTCCAGCCTGTACAAAGCACAAATTTACTCTATCATGCAAGCTGAAGAGACAGGGAACCCATACATATTTTTTTTTTTTTTAAATGTGCATGTAAACAGAGTTGGCCCAGGAGTATTAATTACCTTTGGGTAGGATTGTTTTCTGTCTGATATATCTTGACGCTATATTTTTGGAAGGAAACAGAGATTGGAATGTTGTTTTTGTCAGAAAGCGACCACCATAACTCATGGAAAACATGATCATTTATTACACACATTTCTTTTATGATGTACCTTATTTTTGAAGTAGACTTCTATGGGCAGAATGAAACCAGCATAACCAGACTCTTCTACTTTATATGGTGGGTCTTTGCACACTGAAATACAAATACAAAATACATTAGCTTATGTACCTTGCATACTAAAATGGGCTTTATAGATGTGTAGCATTTCTAATATTCAGACACATATAACGTTTACATGTACAATATTAACAGTTAACATAAAGGGATGAGTGTGGGAACACAGACTTTCAGTCAGTGGCCCTGTGAGCAGCTCACTCACTGCCTTTTTAGCCTGTGCTGACACAGAACACCCAGCCCCATGCTCAGAAGGTCTAACCCAGATCTCTCCATAGATGGCTATACTGTATCAGCAAGGGCCATGCGTTGGCTTAAATTCACACACACACGTCTGTCATGTAAATTTGGCATTTAAACATTAGTCCTTACTATATTTGGACAAGCATATCAGAATGTGAGGGCAAAAAAGCAAGTGTACTCAGAGAGCCAATTCATAATACCTAGAGCAAGTAAAAAAGAACCTTCTGTTTTGGCCTTGAATATATTGTAGGTGGCTGATCCATGAAAGCAGGAGCACAGCACAAACTACTCAAAGCCCAACCTTTATTCTGTATCCAGTGCATACCATGGTAGTTTATAGCTATTGACAACACATTGACTTTTCTCTGCTTTGCTTATGCAGGGCAAAGCAAAAGGTTCATGCAAAAAACGTACTGAAGCAATCAAGTCATCAGGACAGGCAGGAAACTGGCATTTTCATCAGGAGCACTACCCTGTGACAGATATTAAAGCAGACGTGTGGCGAAAGTAAGACTTACTCCCCCCACAGCTTTGAGCTGGCATGGGACACTGCAACCATCAGACACAGGCTCTATAAACAGAGAGCTGAGTGATCAGGTGACCACTCATCACTCAGCTCTTGATGTCTTCTCCCTTCAAAAAGTAGTGGCTGCCAGTCACTGCTCAACGCAGGGATCCCCTCTCCCCTTTCTGTTCCTCCAGCGCTCATTGGGTGGACAGTAATGACGTGCGGTGCCTTCCGTGCTGGGTGCGGCGTTCCCCAGCCCAGCACACAGAAGCCGCATCCCCAGCAAGCTGAAGCTCCGCCCCATCCAATCGAAGCCCCACCCCCAACTAGGTAACCAAGCTATGTGTAGAGGAGGGAGGAGAGAGGGAGGGGACAGGGAGGTGCCTCTCTGTCCCTCACTTGCTCATCACTGGTGAGGCATCGAGATCGATGTCCTCACTGGGTTTTTTTTTTTCTTTTTTTTGATTGGACAGCTTGGACTAATGGCGCTTTGCCATTGGTCCAAACCATCCACAGAGCTCACAGAGCCCACAGAGTAGAGGCTGTGATAGCTCTTGCCTCACTATGTTAGGTTACACAAAGCAGTGGGGAAGCCCGCTGCTGTGTAACCTAACTTATCTGTCAAAAGCCAGATGCAGCGCCACCTGTAATTAACAGGCAGCGCTCCGTCCATGACAGGTTAAACAGCGGGGAGGATTTGAAGCTGCTCTGAATGATGAAAAAGCTGTGTGCTTCAGACTTGAAGCTAACACCTTTTTCCTCAATGGCCGCACGTCCCTTGTGGACAGACAGGCGAGGGGGCGGGCACAGCTGACTCTGGCTCGAGAGGCTGCGTCGGCTGTCAGTCAGGAACCCTGCCTTCGACGTGGTTTAGTAAACGTACATCTGTGACCCGAAAAAAAAACAGGCTTTAGTTCTATTTTAAAGACATCCTCTAGGCAGAAATTTTTATTAAACCTTGCAACACTGCAAGTGCTAACTGCTCCTTTTTGCCTAGGGATCGTCGGAGATGGCTGCTACCCTGCAGCAATGGTATGTCCCTCAGTATCCTCATGTCCTATACACTGTATTGGACGTGATGACTCAAGGATTCCTAGACTACTGCAGAGGAAGGGAAGAGATGCTCCAGGGACTGATCATGGAGGATCAGGCGAGTATGACTTTTTTTTTTTACCCTAGCCAAAAATAAGCAGTTAACCCTTGCAATGCAGGTGTAGCCCCACTGCAAAGGTCGATAACATTTCTACCCGGAGTTCTTTTTTAAAACAATTACAAAAGGACACTGAATAACGATTGCCCCCCCCAAAAAAAAAAAAAAACAAGTTTGATAAATATATGCACTGTAACATCACTATGGCATGTGCCTTGGGATTATTTCATTTTACAGCTGGAGTCTGCATATGCATCGGCATATAGGACTGTTAATTGGTAATGGAGGCCCCTATGGTCTTGTTACATTGTTTGGTACAGCATTATTGTAATACTACAGCTATCCATTTTGATACAGATCACCTACACAGTTATATAGAAGCCAGCAAGTGATTTCAGAGATTGTGTGATGAGCAGTACAGTATGTGGAAGTCTCTTCATTTCTCCATACCCACTGAAGTGAAGACTGTTCACGTATGCATGTATGGCCTGTGAACTCAGATAATAATAATGATGAGCTCAGGGTACATTTCCTGTTAACAAACCACACTGCTGTCTCAGTGACACGTCACATTTAACTGTGCCATTCGACGGATAAAAGAGACATTACAATAAAATGATTGTGCATGTTTGACGGTTAAAACAAATAAGTGATTATTAAGATACACAATCTATTTCCACTCCAGAACACTCAGTGCAACCGTTTTGTAATTATTTCCAAAACAAAAACTGTTCCAGTAAAGCACAACTTACAACAAAGATTTTCCTATAGACGTCTCGCTAAAGGTTATTGCTTTCTCGCGTAGAAGTGCTATAATAAGAATCTGCATCTTAAAGGCTAAGTTTACCTTTAACACCATGTTTCATGTTACAGCATATTTGGTATAGACGGGGACTGGAGGAACAATCTGCAGGAGTCAGAGCATTGCACCCTCGATCATGGTTGCAATGCTTCACTTGCTCCAATGCAAAAAAAAAAGAATAAATGCACAGTTTTTCTTTCATAAATGTGTGCATTTCTTTTTTTACAGTGTGCTTTGAGAGACTCTACAGATATTACAGCTACACTGCAAATACGAACGAGTGCTCGCAATCCGTAATGACACAATAGCGAGCTTCCAAAAGAAATAGCAACCTTGGTATCTGTGGTCTCAGCACGACGTACCTTCCCCATGGCTTTAGGTAATAGAGGTACCCGTGGCTCTGTCATCATGTCTCTGGACCCTCTTCGGGATCCCAACATGAGAAAAATGTACATGACTTATGGGTCCAGTGCATATATTTTTCTCTTTCTCTCATATTGATATTTTGCTCCTATCCAGACCTGATTTCTTGTTTGATATTCTTTTCTTCTGTTTTGTATAACTGAAGATTCTCAATAAAAAAGTATTGAAAAGTTAAAAAAACAACAAAAAAAACTTTGCCTTTACCTACTGTATTTTACTGCCTTTGCCCCATACCCCACTAAGATGTGGGCAGTCATTGTAGATTATGCCAGCCATGATTGAAAAAGCGATTTGAAATGGCAAACAATTGAAATGGCTTAGGTCCAATCCTACTCAAATCTGTAATTATGTCCAGCCAGTTTTGTGATTTACACAACCCTGCCACTTTATATAGCCTGATGGTTACAACACTGTTCAGAGTCTACAATTTCTTGCATCTTCTCTCCTTCAGCATTTATAAACTGGTGAGGTGCTTTTATGATCGCCTCTTCCTGTAAGTCTACGTTTGCTGCATAGCTATACGCTACATATTCTAGCCGATGGCTCGCCTCCAAGCATTGCAGCACTCTGGTACACAAGGTATTGTGGTATTACAGTATTAATGACAGATTTGAACGTATAGCAGTAGTGTTCAAAATAATTTTTTTACATGTAGCTAGATGATCAAGGGTTTTTTACAATTGTCTAGAGTTCTGCTTTTAAGTAGATTTACACATGCACTATTTCTGTAGACAATTCTCTTAAAACAGAACTCAATAAAAATCAACTTTGGCATGACTGGTAAAAATATCAATCTGTGTAAGATCCCATTAGCAACAGTCTAAACAGCACTGCATGCTCAAACACAATATCATAACGCATGCATTCCGTGACTGAGAAGGGGAGTTCAAGCACAGTGGTGACCAGAGGGTAGAAGGGTGCTGGCACAGTGGTAGTGATAGGGGTAGTTGCAGGTCCAGTTGTGAGTGGTGCCTCAACAAGGAGCTGTAAGCTGTACCTCCCCATGCAGTCCTTCCAGCCCGTAGAAGAGATTGGGTGGGAGAATTGGTGGCGTGAAGTGCCAAGCTGGAGATTACAGTGGCTATATATAACTTAGCAGAAGCTGGGGGGTAGAGAGGTGGTGTGAGCTGATGAGGACAATTAGAAGGCCATGTCCCATTACAATAGAGATTCAGCTGCTGAAGGGACCACTCTAGATGTGCTTCCTGCTGGGTAAGGGCTTGTTCACACCAAGCGCGGAGCAGATCCGGACCGGACCAGAGCAGGATCAAAACTGCGTCCAATGTATTCCTATGGTATTTTGACCTCCAGTTCACATCGCAGCGTGCGGATCCAGACCGGATGAAAAAAATGCGGCAAGCCCTATTTTACCTGCTCTGAATCTGGTCTGGAACGCATCAAAAACGCATCTAAAACGCAAAAACGCATCAAAAACGCATGCAAGTGCCTGAAAGTCCATGTTAAACTTAAAAAAAAATGTATATATTATTATTTTTTTAGCAAAACCGGCCCTAAACGCATGAAAAACGCATCCAAAACGCGTCTAAAACGCGGCACAACCCACTACACTGCGTGTGCAGAAACCTGACCGGATCTGGTCTGCATTTGGTGTGAACAAGGCCTTAGGCTGGTCTAAAATATTGCCGCTACTGCAAGTACATAGCAGCAACACAATGTTATTACCTACCTGCTGTTATTGTGCATTCAACTGGTATCGGTGACATTTTTCATTAGACCAAAGATTCTATAGTACCCCCAGAGTGGAGCTGGCATGAAACCCTTGTTCATAATAGCCCACACTCTAAAACAACCCGTTTTCGCATACAGGCTGGGGTCCGCTGTGTGTCGGTTGTGGGGGGCTTGAAAAAGCGATTTGAAATGGCAAACAATTG